TGTTTGAAAGAACTTTTGAGACACATAAAATTTGATGGTGACAAAGTTAATAACAACGTTGGAAAATCATTTATCAGAACCCCATAAGAAGACTTCTTCTAGGGCTCAGACACATATTAAATCAAGAACCTTGATATTGATCTATGTAAAAAAATTGTAGATGGCACAATGTATATGTTATGGTAATAAATTGTAAATTATTGACCACTGATTAATGGCCGTAAACAAGTACTTAATCAAGATTTACAGTCTTGAAAAAGCGAGTGCTGAGTTTGCGGTTTATAAATACTCAGACAATTAATTGTTCAACAGACATACAACAACGTAATATTACCTAAAACCATAAATAGCTAATAAATTCAGGCATAAAAAGCTCAATCGATTTTGTATTTTGTAACAATTCTTTCAGTACTAAGTACACTTTTATTTTTCTATTTTAGAGAACAAAACTACCCCAGTACCAGCTTCTCCCTCTGGACCGTATTCAACGAAAAGCGACCCGAATTGTCAATAGCCAAAAGATCGCCGACCGGCTCGATCCCTTGGCGTTACGTAGAGATGTAGGTTCACTCTGCATTCTCTATCGTATATATCATGGAGAGTGCTCCGAGGAATTGTTGGGACAACTTTAGGCCCTCGTTCCACACAACAAAACAAATAATTAATAATTGACAATGGCGTTTAGGATTCATATTTAATAAATTCTCTAACGGCTCTGTATGTGAGTAAAATATATAATTATTATAATCTTTATTATATTAAAGCAGACAAACACGGCAATACGTAAACCAAAATGTAAAGTTTACGCAAGTCAAGAATAAACGAAAAAAATATATTGCTAAAGTTAGCAAATACTTAGAGATTACCCACTTACACCAAATTATTAAACCTCATTTGGACATACATGTCTTAAAAGAATACCTACTAGCAGATACGGTAGACATTGTCTTGCCAGTGTATTTATTCACCGCCGCGCATACAGACCTATATGCATTTATGCATACATTAGACTAGCATTTTGCTCCACGCAAAATACCTACGCGCATAGTAGACGTCGCGTCGGGTCGCAGAAAACAGACCGTTAATACCACAGAACAGTGAATAAACTGTTTATTGTTCTGTGGTTAATTAATACCATACAATTGCATTTGCCAGTGTCTTCCTTTGTGCATAATTTTTGTTATACTTATGTTTGAGAAGCCAAAGCTTGAACTCAAATGTTAGTTTATAATAACTTAATAATAAACCATAAACGAAATGTCCCACTGCTACGTACCTACGGGTACAGTGATGGTTGTTGTAAAGAGTGTTTGGCGTTTTAGTAATTATAAATTATACTAAAGTATAATTATACAACATACATACAGTTATTTATTATTTAAGATATATATTGGTACATTTGACATAATGTATTTTTTTGTATAAAATATCATTAAAAAAACGTAACTATGTCGAAAAAGTATATTTTGTGAATAAAAGCCAAAAAAATATTCTTTTTTTCATCTAAAAAGACAACTCCTGCATTAGGAATACTTATATCCTGTCCCGCGAGGGACTTTACAAACATACATGAAACGGACACAAAGTACACCCAGACTCATAACAACAATTTGTGGATCACACAAAGTGTCGTCCCATGTGGGGATCGGACCCACAATACTCAGTGTAGAAGCGTCGTGGCGACCGCTTAAACCACTACGCCATCCGTGCATCAGTGCATCCGTATAATGATATATATTTATTAAAAAAATAACTAAATATAGTGTCAAGGTCTTTTTTTGTAGAAATATTCAAAGCCCGGTATATGCAATTGTTTAGGCATGCAAATACCTACGTCTCTATGAGCTACTTATTTCTCTCTGACTTGCTAGACAAATATTATGATTTTCTCTTTCAATGTTAACTAAAATTTATTCTACTATATATAATTTAGAGTCTGTAGCACTCAGGGATAATGTAGCCTTTTGTCTGTAAAGTAGTCTGCCAGTCAGTCAGTCTGTATTGATGAAGTCGTAGATTATTAATACGTATGTCAATGTAGTAGTATGTATGTACTATGTGATGTACAATATAATCTAAGAAGTGAGTTTTCTTTTTTGCGAAACGAAATTGATTGTAGGTATTAAAACTTTATTCGTAGAAATCTGCAGCAAGGCAAAAGCAGAAATGAGCAAGTTTTCATGGTTCTCGGTCAAACAATATCAACGTTTACTATTCTTAAATCATAAGTAGTTATGTAACTACCTACCTATGTAAAACAGATGATTAAGTACTATTGATGCACCCACATGCGGTAGGTAATAAATAAATAATAAGCAATAAAATAAGCAAGGGCTTATTATTAAGGTAAGTATCGCTTGTGAATTTACTTCTGAACTTACGATATTAAATAATTTAAGCCCCTGAAAAACAAAAGTAAAAATTCTAATCTCTGTCTGTGACACTACCTAAAAAAGAAAAGAAAATTAAAAAATGATTCTTTTGCTTGCCGGTAGGTAACTTAAGAGCCTTAGGACACAATTGGACGAGTCACAAGACTCACCTAACATAGTTCACGTTATGTTCTTGCCCTAGACAGATAGATAAGTAGAAACGGAGAGAGGGAGAGTGCGCGACGAGGCAAGGGGAAAAGGGGGTCGAGCAGTTACGCACGCGCACTGTTGTCGAGAGTTCACACGCGCGCTTCGAAACCGCGGTGGGCCTCCACGTGTACGCTCGCGTTGCCCCCTTTCACCCGCGCACCGTGCCCCACCGCGCAACACGGGTCGGACATTCCAAACTAGGGGTGTCCACTTAAAAAATATATCGATATTTATATTCGATGTAAAATATTGTATCCCAGCATCGATGTTTATCGATATATCGCTAGAAAACATCGATATTTTTTCACTATCGAATACTTTCCACAAAAATTTAATATGACCTTTTTCCAGTGAAACGCACAAAGTTTGTGGTCCTTGATTTTGTAAGTATGAATGTAGAATTAGAGACCAGAGTAACATAGCTAAACTAGTAGTGTAATAATAGTGATTTTCTATGAGTGTTACTTGAATAGAATTGTACTACTAAGATAGTGGTGAGATGACTGAAATAAGTTATACCTACATTTGTAAGTGAAATAAAAACGACAAATTAATAGAAATATTTTATTACATACCACAAAACTTGAAAACAGTAAAAGAAAAAATACATATTTAGTACTAGCCTTAATCTAGGTACTTGCAAAAACTTACTTTCACTTTACCTATTTAAGACCAATGCTCTTTAGACAAACTTTGCAAAAATAGTGCAAGAAGAGTGAAGTGAGTGTAAGTAAATATAATGAACCTATAGAATCCACAGACTATACATACATTGAGAGTGAATAGTCGATCGATCTGTCAGGATAGATTAGATAATTAAGATGGTCACTCACAGATGTCACTATCTTAATGAACCTTATTTAAAATTGAAGGCATCAAGTAGTGTTAAAATTATTTAGTTCGTTAATAGATTCGACAAGAAAATAAAAAAAGCAAATATTCGATGTTTCTATAAATAAATATATCGATATATCGAATACAATAAATGTTAGTCAAAACATCGAATCAATCCGATATATCGTACGGAATACATCGAATAAATTCGATATATCGATGTTAAGTGAATATCCCTATTCCAAACCAACCTTCAACAAACGCGCGGCGTCTATCGTGTGGTAGGTATATAATACGATATAATAGCGTTATGCTTGTATAACAATTACATTATATGTACTATATTCGTACATACAAAAAAAGGAATAAACATTATTTGTACGTTAACTTATATTTAAAAAAGTCTATGCATGTCTTTAAATTTTCCTGACTTGCTTTTATAACTCGGTAGTAGGGAATGAAAAAAATGAGTATACATATACATACGTCATAGGAACGATATTTAATCTTTCCTATGGCGTATATAATTATATAAGATACAGGTATATTAGGTATAAAAATTGTAATACTTCAGATTTGCAGAAAAGCCATAGAGGATAAACTTAGTATAGGGAGTGGTATAGGTATGGTGGTAGTTATGTTTATTTATAGGTCCTTAAAGTTATAAGCGTTGCGTCGCTGGAAAAAAAATTTAAAAAAATATTTTTTTTACATGATGGATGGTTTAGGTACATGATTAATAATAAGTTCGATAAATAAACTTTATTGATGCATATTATTGCATATGCATATGCATCAAACATATTATTATAATAAGTAGGCAGTCACATCGTATATATATAGGAGATATATATATATATATATATATATATTTAAAGACATATCCTGCATTAGGAATGTATGCTGTGTCGCGGGAGACTTTACAAACATACGGAAGCGGACATTATATCGAAACGGACACAAAAAACACCCAGACTCAGAACAACAATTTGTGGATCACAACAATGTGTCGTCCCATGTGGGGCTTGAACCCTAGAAGGAATCGGCGTGGCGACCGCTTAAACCACTACGCCATCCGTGCAGTCAACTATTGAATAAAATATTAAATTTCAAATTAAATCGCTTTTATAACATACATTACGACGGAAAAGACAACTACAACAAAGTTGGTCTTATCTCAATGCCAGATAGATTGCAGCAGCAAGGAAAAATTAAATTACATTCAATTATTAAATAAATTGCAATTGTAGCACAGGAAAAAATTGGGACTGCTTTTCATTTTGGTCTGAAATTGAATTTAAAAAAAAAGTATACCAACTAAGTAGGTATGTGCGAAAAAAAGATGATCGCGACAGCGTCGCTCATGGCTCCCGCTCGATCTCATGGCTTGCAACGCTACCGATTTCGCTTTGACTCGCTCGCTACATGCGCGGCTCCGAGTGCTCAGACTTCACCGCATTCGGTCGTCAACGTCGGTCGAGAGAGTCTGTCATCGCAGTTTTTCATTGTTGAACCATTGTGCACAACCTACGTCAACATAAACTATATTGGACTTTGATAGAAAAATCAAAATCATTTCGTAACATGATAGGTAAGGATTTTGTTTTATTGTTTCTACCTATATTTATTTGTTGTTTGTTTTTTTGTGCAATTACAACTTTAATCTAATAGCTAGCTGTCCCAATTCTACACTAACTTTAATAAAAGAACCATTTATTTGCCATGCACGCATAATAAATAGGCGCATGTAAAAATCGGGCTGAATGCATTTTAGTTCATTGAGTTCAAAATACTTAATAGGTTGATTTTTAGGGTTTCATAAAAAATATCTAAATTACCTTTTCCTGTAGTAAATGTGTTAAGCATCTTATGATGGGTTATTTCGAAAATGATCAACAGAAATATCTACATCTCGCTGCCGCCCTTTAATTCAAACTTATAGTTTTTTCTGGATTATACCTATCCATTCACAAATTTAACAAATTAAATTACAAATACACACCTACTTAACGTGCACCAATGGCATAATTATAACAAAAAAAACACAAATGAAACACTCTTGTAAATAGGGCAGGGAAGGACAAGCGGTAAGAGGGGATACCTACTTTGTGTGCGGACTGCGGGGTCGGTGGCCCAAACACGTGGAGGCCTGCACCGCGGCGCTATCGCGTCGAAACCACGGTGCAGGCCTCCACGTGCTGTCAGAGGACATTCACTCGTCTTTTGCTCCGCTCCCTCCATGCCGCTCACGCCCCTGTGTGGCCGTATTATGTTGGTGCATCCTGATATTCCTGATCGCTGCATGCCATACACAACAGACACTATACTGTGAACGGTCGCCGCGTTTACAACGGAGTACCAACAATAAATACGGTCGATCTAATAGTATAATGGAATCGTTAACGACTATTCATACGAAACAATATCGTTCGGCAGGTGATGAGGAACGAGTTCATCAGTGTGGCGAGTGCGGGCTGACGCTCTCTACACGAAGTGCACTAACAGCTCACGCACGCTCTCACCGTACCACTGGAGATGCACACCGTTGCGACGTGTGTAACAAGACTTTCGCCGTGCCTGCGAGACTGGTGCGCCATTATCGGACCCATACTGGTGAGCGGCCCTTTGAATGCGAATATTGCCACAAAATGTTCAGTGTTAAGGAGAATCTTCAAGTTCATCGTCGCATACATACTAAAGAGAGACCTTATCGATGTGGAGTTTGTGATGCAGCCTTCGAACACTCCGGCAAATTACATCGCCATGCTAGAATCCACACCGGGGAACGGCCACACGCCTGCCCGCATTGTCATAAAACTTTCATTCAATCGGGTCAGCTGGTGATCCATCTACGAACGCACACCGGTGAAAAACCATACCGATGTCCGGCACCTGGTTGCGGCAAAGGCTTTACCTGTTCGAAGCAGCTCAAGGTACATTCGCGTACTCATACTGGAGAACGCCCGTATACTTGTGATATATGTCTTCGGGACTTCGGTTATAATCACGTGTTAAAGTTACATCGCTTTCAACATTACGGCGAGCGATGCTACCGTTGTACCGTCTGTGACGGAACGTTTAACACAAAAAAGCAAATGGAAGCTCACATATATAAGGAGCATGGCGCTGATACACCGCGCACTCCACAGTTGCCATCGCCGACATCTCTTGTAGTAAATGGAAATGTTATGTGTGATTTAGTGGAAGCAGCATTGCAACAATTACCGCCAACTCCTCCAAGCTCCCCTCCCTCACCGCAGTGTCCTTCAATTGCTACCTGTACGACTGTAACTTCTCCATCACAATCACCTTCCCCTCCACCAACAACTTCAATCCAATATACCCTTGAGCCTTCGTCGCTACCGCCAAGGAAACGAAAGCTAATCCTTCAACCCAATCCAGAAATACCAGCGGTTGTCAGACATACTTCGGTTATACAGTTTGCCCCTCCCGCAGCACCAGAGTCATAGTTACTTTGATATTGTCAAAATTACATATTTCTTCTTTAGATGTGTACGCGCTGTATTCAAGTTTTTTTTTAATTAATTGGCTGTAGCTGCCTCGTTTGAGATTGTAGTACTAGAATAAGATAAACTGTGCGTATTAAGTCAAAATTCAAACATAGGCAGTTAAAAAATTAGAATATGTGTACCCGTATAAATTAAATCCTATGTATGCAATCTTAATATTATAAGAGTTGAGAAGAAGACTAATAAACTACCTATTAAGTGCATTTGTGCCGTTATTACTACGATTAGATAAGTAAGTTTTTGTATTTATTTAAGTAAGTACCTACAGTTAAGTCTAGTAAGAATAAAGTACAATGTTGTATTTATGAATTCTATTATTTTACACTTTAACCTGGGAAACAAAGGACAATGGGGTAGTTTTTACTACTAAACTGATCATCAGGGTTATAAGACGCAAATGAGTGGCGTTTTTTTATTATTCATTATTACTCGACGTAATATTGACTTATGCAGTTGAATAGTCATAAGTTCAAACCGTGGGTTAATTTTTCACGGAAGCAGTAAATCGATGTGACGGAACACCGGTGCCTCATTTTACTACGCTCATCACTCCACATTTTGACAAAAAATAAATCTTCACTAGTCAATTCATTCGAAGTTCATTAAATAATTAGGAAATAAATGAATTTGTAAATGTATTCATGAAACCAATTATAAAGTTAAATACAAGAGTTCGCGCTTACCACGAAGTAGGTACCTTTTCAAAGCTCATTCTTATCCTGAATTGATATTACCACCATCTGACATGTAGGCGGAGAGTTAGGTTGTATTTTGTTTTTAAACTTTCTTGAAATTACTGATTCTACTTATTAGTGTGAATATTTTAATGAGTTAAATAGGTTCGGATATTAGTTCTCCTACGATATATTGCAAGTAGGTAAGGTAGGGCAGCAATATATTGGAAAATGTCAAAACGCTATATGGTTATATATGATATGGATGGTTTCCGACATCACTGTCGAAGTGCTAACCTAACCTAACTAATACACATTTTTCTTAGGTTAGTTAACTAACTTGATAACCTTATCAACATTTTTATTAGGATCACAAATTCCCAAAACATACATAAATTGTTATATATTATAACAATTTATGAATCATAATGATAAAATCAATAATATTTAAAAAATTATGTATAGACTTAAGTAGAGGGTATTTTAAGCAAGGTCTTTGCTATCGTAATTTTTTTTATATGATACAATTTTCAGAGTAAGCTTCCGTATTACTCTTGTAGTGTAATATGTTTCCAACGAAACCTTAGGCAGCAATACATTTTTCCTAAAAAGTATATTACCTAAAGGTTGTCAAAAACATGATAGAACATGGATTCCGCCAACTTTTTTCTATTTCTAAAAAATAAATTATGTACTTCGAGGACACAATGGTTGTATTTAAACTGTATTTGTTGTATTGAAACAATAAATTCAATGAATCATAATATAGTCCTCGGGCCCAGGACCTTTTTTTAATTATTACCTACTTAGCCGACCTACTCGTCGGAGTCGGACAAGTTTTCACGTGCCAAGTCTGAAATAGGCAGCATTTTTACTCCCCCGCCCTGCAAATATGCCAATTTAACGATGGTATATTTTTTTATTGCCTAACAATAAATTTTCATTCTAATTACAAGAAAATAGCGGTCAATTGAAGAAATAATAATTGTCGGACACAATGGCCGCCACCGTTCCAGCGTCTAGTACAGCGTTAGTCCAGCGTTCTCTCGCGCAACGTGTCGAATTTTCGTGGGTAGGTTTTTTATTACCTACAAGGGAATACTTGGTGAATCGTCTCGTTTGTATATTGTAAGTCGTCAGGTACAAGTGTCCGACAATAATTATGCATCTCGTACGGAGTCCGACGCGGTGAAAATGTGGATTTTCGAGTAGTTATTTCGATGCGGATGACACTTTCGCAGAAGGATGCGACAGCGATGAAACATCTGTCGCTACCGGCTATGGCGCGTATTGAGGCCAGCAGCGAGAGATCCTCTCTGATGACGGCAATGAGGACCCGACGATATGACGCCCAAGCTAGGCAAATTGTCCAGGGGATGGTTACTTCATTCCTAGTAACCGAGTGCAGGTACTTCACCACCACTACACTACCACTTCGGGCGGGGGCCGACTGCCGCTACTTGCCCAGAATTCATGCCCACCTTCGTAGACATTTTGCGGCAACCGCGTATGGCTCTAACTGTCAATAACTTCTGAGGGCGCCAGAGGCGCGCCCTACTCTGTGCGGTCAGAGTCACCGTCGCCGGTGCACCGTATAGGCCATTGACCGGAGAACCCCCGTGTACAGCCGTCTTGTCGCGTCGTTGGACAAACGCAGTGCTGACTAGTTTTAGAGCATGCTGTCGGATGGGCTCGTTGAGTCGCCAGGGTGTGGACCACGATGGGGCCCATGAAATAAGAGGGCCCCGGTCACCTCGCCGCTTCCTACTGCGCTGAGTTTTATGGGTTCGATCCCTACATCGGGCAACACTCTGTGTGATTCACAAATTGTTGTTCTGAATCTGTGTGTTCTTTGTTCGTTTTATATATATTTGTAAAGTCCCCTGCGACACTCGATATATTCTCAGTACGGAAGCTGTTTATTAAAAAAAAAAATGCGCCCGACCACCAGGGGCTCTCTCACTCGGGCTGTAACCCGTACCCTTATATACCCTTACCCAGTCTATCATTGGCGTAACAAATTACGCTCAGTCGTAACCTATATTCCAAGAAAATACCCTGGCGGAATACTGCACGTCAAAGGCCGGCGCCTCAGATATCCATCTTGGTTCTCATACATCAATGACACTGCCAACAGCATGCCGCTGCAGCTCATTGTATCTTCGGTCACGATCCTGAGGCGCAACACAGCGCTGATCGTCGAACGCTCCGCTCGAAAACCGAATTGGCTGTCTGACAGATAGGGGCCCACCTAGTAGTACAGCGTTTGGTTTTAGTCGGTTCAATTCCGACTCACCGCACCGCCGCAAATCACGCTGTCACGGCCCGACGGGGTTTCCACTCGTTAAAATAAGAGTATTCAATTGCAGAGGTTAGTAGGGGCGACGAAAATTTAATAGCCTACAGGCGGCAAATATGTAAATCCGTGACTGGTCTCAGATACTAAATACTGACTAACTGACTGACTCATAATATGACTCCAACAATCGACTGTCTAGTCTAAGTGAAAATTTGAAGGAACTTGTCTTGTCGACTTCTGTTGTTTTTATTCAACTACAAACTCGCCCACTTACTCGCTGTTGTGCCTACTTCTTGCTAATTATTTTTCTTTCTTCTTTCTTTCTTTTAAATAGACAACTCCCGCATTAGGAACAAATCCTGTGTCGCGGGGGACTTTACAAACATACCTGAAACGGACACAACGAACACCCAGACTCAGAACTACAATTTGTGGATCACACAAAGTGTCGTCCCATGTGGGATTTGAACCCACAACACTCGGCGTAGTACGCCACCCGAGCAGTCGATATTATACCTTGTCTTATTATAATATTATACCTTATCTCTAAGTGATTTGTCTCGCTCTCGTCACTTCCGATTTCCTGGTAAGACGAGCAAAGCGCATCCGAAGCTATTACCTGTGGGATTCTCGTGACGTGAATATCTGCAAAAAAATTATTAAAATTCAGTAGGGGAAGCTGCACGCGGTTACAATGGCGATTTTTCTAATTCTCTCTCGTTATCGGGCGAATTTACTCTTTGGAAAGAGCTTTGGAGGAACATCTCCCCCAAAGAGCAGCAGAGGTGCATCAAGAGACAAATGAGTTTTTCTTAAATATAAAAATTCATTTACAAATTCTTGCTACATTACCAGTACCCACTTGTAGTGTGGAGCGGAGCTTCTCTTCGCTTAAACTAATAACATCGTACCCTCGTACAACAATGACCACAGACAGGTTAAAGGCTGCCATGTATATTCACCGAGATATATCTGGCAGTCTACAACCTAACGAGATCATTGAAGAATTAGCGAAAAGTTTTCCGAGGAGACTGGTTATGCGTTAAGCAAACTAAAAACTTGTATGCTTTTTTTATTGTTTTTCCCTTGATAGAACCTACCCTCACCAGGGTCAAGCCAAACCCTCCCAAAGCAAAATCCTGAATCCGCCACTGTATGTACCTTTTTATTTTATTAAGGCCCGGCAACGCGCTCGTGTCTCTTGAGTTGCAGGTGTTCATGGATGACAGTAGTCACTTTCCATCTGGTGACCCCCCTTATTTTTTGTTTTTTTTCTTTGCGGAACTCCCCTCGGATACCACCCACCATTGGGTGATTATGTCGGACTCGAACCGACCAAAAACCGCACGCCGTCTCCAGGTACCAGTAGCTGGGAACCAAGTAAACCTTAGAAAGGAAAGCCCTAGTACCCCGACGTACCTCAGGCCATCTACGGCTTATAAATGACCCCTCCTGTGTGGGAACCCGGATGTTCCCTTCCTGCTCAGAAGGGCGCGCGCGCTCCGTAGCGCGTCGCGCCATTACCCACCCCAGCCTGCTTCTGCTAGAGTGACAGATGGCCTCACCTCACGGAGGTCGGTCTGCGACCTCCGGCGCCCGAGCCGTCTGCGGTACCTGGCCCGGTCTCGGGCCTGGCGAGCCGGGAGGGTTCTGACCCTCTCCCGGTCCCGCTCCGCCATCTCTTTCGCAAGCATAACCTGCTCGCAGAAAGAGACGGCGTAGTTCCACGTACTCTCGCTCCGCACCATGGCCGCAATCATGTTACCAAGCGAGAGAGCTTCCACCCCGATGGCCGCCACGAGGTCACGCCTCTGCTCCACCCACGCCGGGCATTCTGCTAGAGTGTGGAGCGCTGTGTCCACGGTGCGGTCATCGCAGTGGTAGCACCCAGGCGTTGGCTCCTTGCGGATCAGACACAGGTGATCCCCGAAGCACCCTTTCCCCGTGATCACCTGCGTCAACCGGTA